AAAGATTTCTTTCCATCCCTCACCTTTTCAAATGAAAAACAGTAATAATATAATAAACCAAGATTTATAAATGTGCATTGGATGGCAGTCAACATTTCCGCAATTTAAACTATAATTGAGAGTCAAGCTTGTTGGCAATGCTGTCCAAATTTAAAACCATATCAACTCACATCCTTTAACTTAGGGATTCCACTTGGAAATTCCTGTTTATTTAAAAGGAAAATAAAAGTATATACATAAAATAGCCAGACAATGTTGAAAAATCCAAATAACCTTTAATTAGGCAATATTGATGACTTGCATTCAAGAAATAAATATTGTGATTGAAACAACAACTATGGAAATTGCATGGTAAAATGAAAATTACTATGGTAAACAAGAAGAAGAATATCACAACAGTGACTGAAATAGTATAGAACTGCCCACATTTTTAAGCCCCTATACGTATGAGAGACCTGTGAGTCCTTGTAATTGCTTCTGTTCCATTCACCACTGCTTATGGAGGAGGGACTACCTGGGAGCTCAGGTTACATTTCTGACCTGAAACCTTTGCTTACTGTGTTGTTACAGTTTTTCATTAGATCATTTTTCCCATCATATTCACTCCACTAGGCAGTAACTGACATTTTAAATAGGCACATACATGATCCTGTGCTGCAGTCACAAAATCTCAGATTTTGTCATTATTTGATATAATGGTCACAGAAAGACTAGTGAAATGATGAGAAATATTTATTTTCCATCATATATGATTATGAATTTTGCTTAAGAAGAGTAATTCCTACAAATTAAAATTTTAACTTTTCTCCTGTGTTTAATAGACCCTGAACTTTCTCCTAGAGACCCAAGCATATCTATTCTCTCTATAACAAAGAGGATTAGTTACTCATTTCCATTTATTCAAAAATCTGTTGACTTGTGAGGGTTGGGAACTTTGCATTTGACAGTTCTAATTAAACACTAATTGCAATTTGAAGAATTGGCTGTTGTAATAGCCCAGCACTAAAACTGATATAATTTTCTCAATGATAGGTCAAAGTGTGGAAATGTTGTCTACTATCAAAGGAAAAACTCATTTCCATGATGAATAATTTGTTCCCAACCAAACAAGGCTGACTTTTAATCAAAGACTGAAATCCTTAAATCATCAACTAACCTAGATCACAAATACTCCTACAAACATCTATAGGGTCAGTACCCGCACGATCTGCTGACTAGAACTCTAATTGCACTGATACAGACTGTGAAGCAATCATTTGTTCCAATGCATCTGTTTCTAGGTTTCTATGATGAAACATGCCCAAACAGTCTTTCGTATGGCACTAGAATGAGAAGATGCACAAATTCCATTTACGGAACAACTCACGTGATCACATCCACCATTTCTGTTTGGGAACCATATCTCCCTTTCTGCAAATATTAGTGATTCTTCTATTCATTCTCTCTTTCTCTGTATCTCTCTCTTTCTCTCTCTCTCTCTCACACACACACACACACACACACACACACGAGATTCTGATACTGACACAAGAAAATTGTAATGAACACTTGCATGTGGAAAGGGAAAAAAATAAAGTATTTCCAAAATCTAACTTGGCAGATGTTGCAAAGTACATACAAACTGCCCATGGATAAAGTTTCTTTATTTGGCCAGCTTCTGGCTTCTGGGACTAGTTTTCTAGTCTGTGTTTTTTTTTAATGGGACTCAGCTGTATTCAGCCAAAGACCTTAGTATTTGTACTGTATATACTGTGGCCATATCAGAGGGTCTCTGGGGGAATATTCACCTACAGGCTATGGAAAGCACACACTCATGTAACTCCATTCTCATTCACATTTCAAGGAATAACAAGTGATTTCCAAGGTTGAAAAATGAGTCACTTTGAACTCCAGGCTAAAAACTCACTTGCCAGTTGAACTTTCATAAATGTAACAGCTCCCTTTTTTGCTGTTTTACTCCAACAAATTTCTTAGGTTCATATTCACACCCAAACCTTGTGCAGACATTGCACATCCTCTGAGCTGCCTATAGTCACCTTGAGTTATGAGATGTTCCGGCAGAGGCACAATCTCATTCTCTCCTTCTAAACTATTTTGTTCAGCTTAAAGGATTTCTAGGATTTTGCTTTGAAGAGATCCAGAGTTTTAATAACAGGTTTGATGTCCACATCACAGACACAGCCTTTGCCACAAAGGTTAAGCTTAATTGGCCTGTATTTTTCAAGGGCAGCCCCAGTCTTCCAGAGCTTTGCATCTGGAAATGAAAGATGTGTCTCACCATGCTGGCAGTGGCAGAACTCCCCCAACTCCTATATTGCCTTACCTAGCTCCTTGAAAACAAGGAGTTCATCTCTTTTTTGAGTTCATCTCTCCTTTTTGGCATTTGTCAAATACAACAACAGAAAACAAAATCATGGATTTGCAGCCCTTCACCTAAAAACTGCAGCTCACGCTGCGCACGCTGCACATCATGTGCCTTACAAGGTCTTACAGGAATTGATGCACTGGCACAGATTCCATTATCACAGAAAACAGAGCTTGGTGACTCTAGCTTCTAATACACCTCTCTCACCACCTCCTTCACGCACTGAAGCTGATTCCATATATTTTAGTGCTTTCTTTATTTTTTTTTATGACTATATCAGCCAGCTTCCACTTTTTTGAGGTAGGGAACAATCATGACGTCTCTGGTGGCTTAAGACAGCAAGTACAGTCAGGTGTCACTGGCACATGTTCTGGGAGACCCGCTGTTGAGTGATTTTGTCACTGTGTGATCATGGAGTTTTTTCACAAGCCTGGATTGTGGAGATCATTCACTCAGGGTGGTTCCCTGATATAACCAAAGAGCTGTGCAAGGCGGCTGCCAGTCTGATAGGACACTGTTTTAGAGCAAATTTTAAAAAGCATGGGAAAATGGGGCGGGAGATGGTGGAGGCAGAGAGGAATCCCTATACATACAAAACTGTCATAGCAAATGTAATAATTATAATAATATTAATAAAGCATGAATATGTGCAAGAACATGAACATTATAATAAAGTAACAGTTTAGTAAATACATAAATTGGCAGCATAGTAACTTATTATTATCAAGTGGTATATGCCATACATAGTTCCATGCACTTTGCCACTATCACCCCCATTACAACTTGGCTACCCAAGGAAGCAGGAATCTCTCAGCTTTGCACCAATGTCATAAATATATAGGTCTGCCAATGACAGCATTTATATACAACATGGACATGTAGTAATTCTGCCAATGGAGATGCATCTGGCTCATCCAGGCTTTATTCCTTTCACTCTTCAGTTTAGGATGTTTGCTGGATTATGTTTGCTTTGGAGACACCCCACGAAACTTGAGGAATGACAGAAAAGCATATCAGAACAGAGGCTCATCAGGAGCTGTGTGGGCTGCCAACCCTTCTGACAGCAACTGGCGTGAACTGCTTCTATTCCCAAGGTATTAGTGGAACAAATATCCTATAGCAAACCTCACTCTGGTGGGAAGAATGAGTGGTCTTCATGAAGCTTGTAGAAAATATAAATTCTTTAAAAATTATACATGGATTTCAATTTTTTTCACACAGAATAAATTTACCCTTCAATTCATTTTCATATATTTTGAAGTATTCTCTTGTAATCCTATAAGGAGAACTAGCTCATATGATCATCTTTAAGACCCCAGATTTATCTATTTTTTTTCATTTTTTGAATAGCTAAGTTTTTAAACTGTTCCATTAGACTCTTGCATCAAATCTTCAAGGATTAACGTTGCACAAATGCACAAGCCTGAAAATATTAGCACGTTTCTACTGATGCCACATCACAACTTCTTCAGACCTGTATAAACCGACACACAGGTTTATTTAAATCTCGGCCTAAAGAAACACTCGTGTGTTAAAGCTGTTCTAGGGAATAATAATTTTGAACAATTAAAAGAAAAATGACTAGAAATGTTATTATGAGCCTGTGTATTGTACTGCTGTTCCGACCTATTCTTCCACAGTGCAGTTCCCAAACAAGTGGATATCATTAGTCATTCACACCCTTATAGGAAAAGAGCAAGGGGCACCTGTCAACAGAACTGCCCTGTGAGAACTGAGCGGAAGGCCAAGTCCTCTCGGTGCCACCATGCCTGTACTCATCGCATTCTACAAGAGAAACAGAGCCAGGATTTTTTTAAAACTGTAACAGAATTGATTAAAAACTAACTCAAAATACACAATGTGTCCTAGTATGAAATTACTCCATGAAAAATATAGCTCTGCTTTTTTTTTTTCAATTGTTTGGAATCACATGAAAATAGTCCTTTTAACCAGGGAACTCATGCTTTTTGCCTCAAAAAGTTGTCCAACAGGAACAGATGCACTGACGGGAACACCATCTGACAAAAGCACTGCCATGTGGTGACAGATCCACAATCACACTGACGTTTGAGACTGTGCCTCTTTCTGTCTGTCTTTTTTAAAATAACAACTCTTTTTGTTGTTCACAGCTGCAGACAAACCCGTATCTTAGTCACAGGTGTGTGGTCAGGACGTCACACCATTTACTTCTCAGAAACTTCTAAATATTTCCTATATTCCATAAAACATCAATTAGTCGATCTAATCCAATAAAATGAAATGCTTACAATTTCTAAAACACTACAGAATACTAGCAGATTACATACAACTTATAAGAAAACATATCAGATTTCTCTTATATATGCTTGAATGTTAAATAAAGTGGTAAGTTTTAATAACGGCATGCCCGCATTTACACAAATGCACAAAGGAACATGCTAACAAAAACAATGGGGCATATGGAGAAATCGCAGCACAAACAAGTGCATATTATTTTCAGAATCCTTATTCTTATGATTTTTAAACTGGCTTAGTCATTAAAAGTGCCAAGATTTTTATTCGCAACCAATTCCATGTGCTACTAAAGAGACATGCTTTCCATATGCTATTATATGCTACTTTGAGGTTGCTCAGCATGCATTCACTCACACAGTACCTCATCTTCTTTTTGGTTGAGTTTCTGCTTCAACTCTTCCACTTGGAATCTCAATGTCTTCACTTCCGCCTCGTGTTCAGCCAGTAGACTGTTGGCATACGTCAGCTCTGCCATTTTTGCGTGGTATTGTCTGCTCAGTTTGTAGTAGCCATGTTGAAGGGCCAACAGTTCCTAGCAGAATAAAACAGCTTGTGTGATGTATAAACCACTCTGTAAAGGTCCAAAGAATGGCAGCTTTTGTGAGAAACGAGGAAGATATTTTAGGAAGAATTTGGATGACTCTACCCTTCAGTCTGTAATTCTAAAATTTCATTAACTGAATATACAATTAGCATATCACTCAAAGAGAAAAGTGCATGTAGGTAAAATACAAGATCAAAGTATTTATTCTATGCTTTCCAAAAAAATCACATTTTCACAAATGTAGAATGAAAATATAATAGATGCACAAAAGAGCTGCTCATCCACTCAGCAGAAGCATAGAAGCCAACCACTATATTCTTTTAATTTTTTTTTTTTTTTTTTGGAAACAAAGTTCCGAGCTACTGCAGTCATTCTGTTAGCTGCTGTTTTCATGAAATCACAGAGATCTGGAGAACGGAATGTTCATGTGAAAAAGGAACACAGATTCATTCCAGTGATTACTACTGATTAATTTTAGTATGCCTACCGCCATACATGCAATAAACAAACAGATCACAGCCATTTGCCTTGTTATTAATAAAGATATTTTCTTTTGTAGTTCAAATTTGCAGTATAAAACTAACTACCATCATTCTAAAGAATTCCTTTCTCAAACCTACATAAAAAAATAGAGTTCCTCCTACACTCATAACACCATAGGAAAAGCAAAGAATGTTTGTGGTTTATAAAAACCAAGTTTGGAAGGCCCAGCTCTATGGTGTAGTGGCCAAATTCTTGCATTGCATGTGCAGGGATCCCATATGAGTGCTATTCAATTCCTGGTTGCTCCACTTCCCACTCAGCTCCATGCTTATGCCCTGGGAAACAGCAGAGGATGGCCCAAGGCTTTGGGACCCTGCACCCACATGGGCGACCCGGAAGAAGCTCCTGGCTCCTTGCTTCGAACCAGCTCAACCCCAACTGTTGCAGTCACTTGGGGAGTGAAACCGCAGAGAGAAGATCTTTCTCTCTGTCTCCCCTTCTCTCTGGAAATCTGTCTTTCCAATGAAAATAAATAAATATAGTTTTAAAAAAGGGCAAGTTTGGAGACCAATGAAAGAAAAAAAATATATATATGCATATATACATATATGTGTGTGTGTTTGTCTTCAATCACCAAACAAGTTTTCCTAAATAAACTTGTTCAGTTTTCCTAAGTCATGAAGTCATAAAATGATAATCCTAAGTATTACAAGTACACAATTTGTATGTAATGGAATAAAATAATATGTCCTACATAGGAAATATAGCTAGAGACAAGTCTGTTATGGTATAAAGGGTCACATCAACTCTTTATAAACAGCATATAAAACATAAAGGGACAGAATTCATAGAAAACAAACTACCTTGTAAACATGAGAGTATATCCAATTTCAGTACAAAGAGGAGAAACAGTAATCAATTCATGGAACTATTTGCTTTTACTGAAGCTGAACTTCAATGTTATTCAAACATTGTTAAGTCATTTTGCTTCTGTGTATTCATATTTCATCACCACTGTTTATGTTAGCATTAAGTATAATCACCAATTCTTTTCAATTTCTCTATATCATCAGTTTTTCCTCTTAAATCCCCAAACTGAGAGTGCCAGTCTTGGAAATTCACAATTTCATATTTTAATATTTTATTAAGTACATATTTGTGAATTCAGAAACGCTCTTGTCTTTTAATTTTGAAATGCAGTTCTTACTCTTAGTCAAATGATCCTGATAGCCCTGATGAAATACTTAAATGAGAGAGTGAGCATGTAGGATGGACGAAGGGGTCAAGCAGTATGTGAGGGTGACTGTAAAAGCGTAACATCAGAGATCTGGAAATTTTTCTTTCGGTTGCTAGCTATCATACTCCTGGCTGTGCTACTTAGTGTAGGAGGTCTTAGCAAGAGCTCGCCGTTGGGGACCCGTGGTGGAGAATCCATAGATCATACGTCCCAGTTCAACCATTACGGGAGACGGTATGCAGATTCTCAGAGATATTAATATACATCTACAACATGACCCAGCCTTCTCACTCCCGGGAATTCACTCATATGAAATTGAATCAACACACAATATGCTATTTGCACACCTGTTATCTATTGCAGTTCTATTCACAATAACTAAGATATGAAATAAACACATTTGCCCAACAATGAATAATCGGATAAAGAAAATGTAGTGTTTATATGTGATAGAATGCTACATAGCCACAAAATGAATGAAATCATGTATTTTTCAACCAAATGGACTCAATTGGAATGTTATGCTTAGTGAAATAAGCCTGTCCCCAGAAGAAACATATCGTATGCTTTTCATAGTTCGTGGTGCCTAAAACACAGAGTACAAAAAATGTATTCCACATGACTTAAATGGACATTTTGAAATTTGATTACTGTTCACAATCTAATTCTATATTCTTGAGGAACTTTTTTTTAGCTTGCTATTTGTTGAATTCTTTACCTAATAGATGTCATAAGGAAACTGAAAATATTTCACTGTAAACATTGAAAAAATAATTTGGGGAAAGAGGAATGGTGGAAAGTATCACTTTGCCTCTGAATCTGTGCTGCAAAATGCATGAAAATGCTCACTTCATAAAAATTTTAAAATGCACATAAATTCTGTGACTGTCATTTTGTGTATAGGAATATATTCCATATATATGCACATAATTTTATGGAATGTGTGTATAAAGATATCATTACAAGAACCATGTTGTTGTTAATGGAAAAATTGAAAACTAAATAAAAGGCCCTGTATACTGTTATGAAAATATTTCCAAAATATTTTATGGAAAAAGAAAATGCCTGTTTAAAGTGACAGATGATCTAATACAAAAAAAATCTGTATTAGGTATTTGGCATAGTTCAGTGCATGACTTGGGATGCTACCAGTGCACATCGGAGAGCATGGATTTGAACTCTGTGCACCCCCCAACTTTTGGGTTCCTGCTATGATACAGTTGAGAAAAGGCAGGTGACAGCTCAAGAGACTGGATCCATGATACCCACATGGCAGTTACAAATGCCATTCCGGGCTCCCTGGCTTTAGCAGGTTGCAGGTATCTGAAGAGTGAACTAGTTGGGAGGTCCATCTCTTTCGTGCTCACTCTCTCTCTCTGCCTTTCCAATAAATAAATAATAAATACATAAACAAATATTTTTCAAAGAACAAAGCTGATATAAAGTCTCCCTTGGTTTGACACCATTGGTAACCTGTTGATCCCTGGTCCCTACGAAATCTGAACCCTATCACTCCCACAAGTCCAGGAAGATCTCCCAAGCAAAGCAAGCAGGAAGTAGAGTGAAGGACATGAAATGGCAGAGTAACACTGGCTCGCATGCATCACATGGCAGAATAACCACTGGCTGGCATGCATCGCATGGCAGAGTAACCACTGGCTGGCATGCATCTCATTGCAGAGTAACCACTGGCTGGCACGCATCAATGGCAGAGTAACCACTGGCTGGCATGCATCACATGGCAGAATAACCACTGACTGGCATGCATCACATGGCAGTAACCACTGGCTAGCATGCATTGCATGGCAGAGTAACCACTGGCTGGCATGCATCTCATGGCAGAGTAACCACTGGTTGGCATGCATCGGAAGCCAGGGGGAGAAAATGTAAAGGAACGAGAGGCACCCTGATTTCCGCTAGCCACTTCCCTGGCTCCTCAGTTTCCCAAGAATATTTGACACCGAGTAACTTGTGCCAGCATGTAAACAAAATAAGGAGGTGTACATGCTGTGAATTCCAACCTGTAGTGATTAAAGACACAGAAATGGATGATTAAGTCTGAGTGAGGGGAAGATAGTAGGAGACATTCAGACTGAGCAACTAACTAGACCCTATCACTCAAACCAGACAGGTTCACAATGTCCACTCCTAGCACCATAGTAACATTGTGGTTAGTGGCATTATCAGTGTTTTACTGAATTACATCAAAAAATCAGCTCTCAAATGCAGACTTCTCATTTCTGATCTTTTTCTAAATATAACTTTCAGATATCAGGTTTTATACTTTATTTTCTATGGGGGAAACCATGTCATAGGGAACACAATGCTATTATTTGAAATGACAGCAGCACATTTAAAGAAAAGGCTTTCTTCATCTATTAAACAAAAAATTGCTGCAAAAAATGATGCAAAGCTTAATGGAGGACTTAAGGGCAATTTGTAGGATGGTGGTGTTTTCTTGAGAATTATGCCCCTTGTTACAACTCCCTAAATGCTTTTGCAATTTAGTGAAATGATTTCTCCAGATACTTAGTACTTTGTCATTAAGCTTGTATAATTCACCTGGACTGACTTAAAAGGAATTAAGAAAAAAAAAAGGAAGAACCACTTTGATATGCACATATAGCAAGGAAATAAAAGCTGAAGGGAGAGGAAGAAAGGAGAAAGGATAGAAGGATATTGCTATTTTCAGTGCAAATTCCCTTCCAACTAAGTGTCATTTTTATAAACAGAGCTTTTAACTTTTGTGATCCACTGCTTGTTCATTTGTTCAGTGAAGGTCAACTTATTCTCAGGCCAACGAAGTGGGTGTTAATGAGTGAGCGGTGCTCATCTCAGTGGCAAGAACACCTAGGAACATTAACCAAAGCCTTCTGAATCTGTAGCTCAACAGTTGAGTCCAGAAACCTTGGGTCTCAGATGCTCCCCAATGTTTCTCATTCAGCATAAAGTCTTAAGGATTTCTGATTGAAGCCAAGACTAGTAAGCTTATGCTTTCCAGGGACTACAAGTACTAGGAAGAGACAGATGCAGCAGATCTGTGTTGTGGCACAGTGGGTTAAGCCCACCAGCATGATGCTGGCAACCCATGTCAGTGTACTGGTTGGAGTCCCAGACACAGGCTCCTGATTCAGCTTCCTACTAATGCACCAAGGAAGACAGCACGTGGTGACACCCAGTGCTTGGTTGCTGTTCCAAGCAAGATCCTGGATGGTGTTCCTGGTTCCTGTTTTGGGCAGGCCGGAGCCCTGGTTTTCAGAGTATTTGG